TGAAAGCCCAGTGGCACCTCAGACAGTTTCTGGAAGGCCAGAAGTTGGCCTACTTGATGTGTCACTGGGTTCGTGTCTGGACATACAGCAGGATGGGCGGCCTCAAGGGCAAGGAGAGGGTGCTAGAAGGTGCACGACGTCTGTCAGCCTGATACTCGGGCACAGTGGGGTGGAACGCTGCTGGAGGCCAGGACGGTGCAGCATCGACTGCCCACGCCCAACCCACCAAGCTGGCCAGAGGCCGAGACCAGGCTTCAGCCAAGAACAGACTCCAGGCCCACAAAGCCTGGGCTGGGACCTGCCACTTTCGTCTTCCCCATCCAGCAGTTCTGGCCTCAGCCCACCTGCCCTAAAGTGCTGCCCCAGAGCAGGACGACCCTTCGGAGCCACCCAGTTGAGACACACAGACTCCAGGACCTCCGTGGGCCTCTCCCGCCTACAGCCACCCTCCCTGCCCCACAACCCCAGTATCAGGTGGCACCTTGAGTTTCCAGGATACGGGCTGGGATCCTCCCCAGCGTGGGGGGTGTTGAATCTCTGGGAGGGGCAAGAGCCCTCCTAGACACAGGCCCCGGTGCCATCCTCCAGTACAGGAGCCGCTGCTCATCTCTCCAGGCCAAGGGTCCCTGGACCCCACCCCAGTGTCTCACTGGCCAGCCAGAGGCACATGTCGGGGCCCCTTGACCTCTTCCCTGGCTGGGTCACCCAGCTGCCTACTGCCCTACTCCCCAGAAGCTCTGCCTCAGATGGAGTGATGCCAGGGCCTCCCCAGGAGGGCTGGGCGGAGGGGCCAGGAGCAGTGAGGGGCCTGCGCATGATTCCTAGTGTCCCACTCCTGCCTTCCTGGGGGTCCCATGACCCTACTCGCACAGCACTGAAGTGGCCCCGTGGGATGCACCCAGATGTTCTGCATGTTCCCTATGTTTTATTGGAATGCTGTCAGGTCCGCGCCTTCCACATGGGCCCTCACATACAGCCAGGAGAGGCCCCAGCACCTGTCCCAGGCCCACCTGCCCACACCTGCAGAAGGGAAAGGCCGTCACCCTCTGTGGATAGGGTCTCGGCCACCACATCCACCTTCTGAAGGTGGCCCAGACACCTCCACACTGCTGGCTGCACCTCCCATTAAAGGGGATCTGGGGCAGGCAGAGGGGGCCGTCCCCCTACCCCCAAGAAAGGCACCCTCCTGGGCGGGGGCAGAGCTTGGCTCCATGCTGCCAAGTCAAAAGGTGCTGACGTGGAAACAGGCACATCCTACTGTCCAGTGGAGTCCACCCCTCCTCGGAGCATTCAGCCCACCAGGGTCCAAGCAGCCCTCGGGAAACACCACGCGCATGCCGCACACCCAAGTCTCAGCTTGGAGAAAGACGCAAAGACCTCACGCTCAGCTCTCGGGGGACGACTTCCTGGGACCTTTGTGTTGGCCACTTTGCCCAGTGGCTTCTCAGCACCATGAGCCTCTGACCCCCGGCCTCTGACTTCAGGTCCAATTACAGCAGGTGGCTGTTTCGGTGACCGAGTTCCTCCATGGCAGCCAAGGACACCGGCCCTCCACACCGGCTACCAAGAGGGCTGGTGCCCACAGGGAGGACCGGGCGCCAGGAGGGCTCGCTGAAATCTCGTCCCATCCTGTTTCGCGGGTGGCTGAGTCCCTAGGGTGGGACGAGCACAGGGGCTGAAGGGCCCAGGTTGCTCCAGGAGCGCTGCAGACGGCGACCGGGAAGTGGGGTGACCAAGGAGCGTGGCCAAGGCCACAGTGATGAGCATGGTGGCGGGGGAGAGAGCACCTCACATACAAACTGCACGAGCTTCGGGTGCATGCACAGCTGGCCAAGGCCCAGGGTCACACAGGCTGGGCAACGGAGATGAGTCACACACGGCAGCACATCATCCAGTCCTCGGGGAGGTGAGGGTCGGCACGTGGCAGGCACCAGTCTGTAGGGCAGCCCCAGGCACCGCGCACAGGCATCCCTGCTCAGCTCCTGAGCCCGGGGCTGTCCTGCCAGGCCACACCGCTGTCGTGCCCTCCTGCCTCAGGGCCGAGGGCCCACCCTGCGCTCCTTTTTCTTCCAGGGTGTTCCAGGGTGGCCAAGTCCCAGCACTGAGAACAGCTCAGGTGTGGGTGTGGCTATTGTGGGGCTGTGTCTGGTGAACTTGGTGGTTGGACAGTGCGGATGCAGGGAAGCCACGGAGGGTCACGACCGACGCAGGTTTGACCGCACAGGCCCAGGCAGGCGTGGACGTGGGAGCCGAGGGTGGTCGGACGGCAGTGTGAGCGCCAGTATCGCTTTTAGCGTTTCCATCTTTACCACTCCAGTTACTCTCTTCAAAAAGAAAGAACTAGAGCAAACCCAAAGTTAAGTATCTCAAGGAGAAGGGACACCTCACGTCGCTGACAGCTCGGCACGGGGCTGGTCCCAGCCCGAGATACTTACTGCGTAGTGAACCGGCCGCCGGAACACTCACAGGGCTCTGTGCTGCAGCCCACCTCCCAGCAAACCACGAAGAGCCCCTGCCTTGAGTCCAAGAATGCCCAGGGGAGTGTAGGACGGGATGGCCCCCGCCCAGGCTGGAGAGCAGGCCGCTCCCACGCACCGAGAACCCCACGTGGCAGGCGGTGAGAACCCGAGTCTCCCTGGGGTCCTGCCTCCCGAGACGCTGTCCTCACACTGCAGTCGCTGATTCTTGGGTCAAATGAAAGGAGGAGGAACGATGAGGGCAGAGTGCAAACATGAAGTCGCCTGGGGGCGCTGGGGACAGGGGCGCGGTGGGCCCTACCAGTTCTGGTTGTCCCAGCCATCGTCGGCGGGCACGGCCAGTGGCACTGCCTTCTTGGCACCCTCCCCGCCCTCCCCACCGTCGCTGTTGCTGTTCCTGTTGGTGGAGGCCGAGCCCCACACCTCCCAGCTGTCCGAGCTCCTCCTCTCGGTGGAGGTGTCTGCACACGTCCAGCTGTCGCTGCTTGGGGACTTGCGGGCCTTGGTGGGCTCAGCACTTCCAAAGGTCTCCCAGAAACTCTGGTCTATGGTGCTGTTTTGGAAGTGGTCCGGACCGCTGTTCTGGTAACTGTGGCCCTCCGAGGGGCTTTTAAAGAGACAGAAGGGGGATTCTGAATGACTGTTACTGAGCCCACCACTGGGAATTCTGTGCCCCCGAGAGCTCTGCACCTGGACAGTGACCACCTTCCCAGGCCAGCGCTCGGGGTCCACAGCAGCCCCACCAGGTGGGAGCTGTTTCTCCCACTTCATAGCAGTGGAAACTGCTGGGGAGCTGGAGAACCAGGGCCCACTCTATCAATCACCCAAACTGCAGGATAGTTCTACTAAAAACTTCTTTTTCTACCAGCTCCAAACTGCTGCGATAAAACAGTGGTTTAGTCAAGTGGGGAGGGGCAGGGGCACTGCCCTCAAGCTGGGACACAGGCTCTCCTGAGCAACACCCTCAGCTATGCCGGCCCGAACCAGGCCCTGCCCTGTCCTCAGCTATGCCGGCCCCGAACCAGGCCCTGCCCTCTGCCCTCAGTTACGCCGGCCCCAAACCAGGCCCTGCCCTCTGTCCTCAGCTACGCCGGCCCCGAACCAGGCCCTGCCCTCTGTCCTCAGCTGCAATCACATCACTGAAAAACCACATACACGGAGGGAAGAGAAGGGCGTCTCAGGGAAAATTTGGGCCCACCTAGGGGGCAGCGCATCTGTGCCCACCAGCATTGGCCTCTCAGTAGACAGCACAAGGCCAGGCCCTATGAGATCCCCTGTGGTTCCCCTGCTGGAGTCAGAGGCCGAGAAAAGCAGCCAGCTTCCAGCAGAAATGCCTGGGGTGCCCAGCGCTAAGGGCAGAGCTGGACATGGGGGCCAGGACAGGTCTCTGGGGCCCCCAGCCCTCCTGTCCCTGGCCCCCCACCTGCTCCACCCACCCAGAGTCTGGAAGACAGAGGAACAGCAGAGTAGGGCCAGCTCCTCCTACGTGGCGGCGTGTGGGTGGGACCTTCCCTCCCACCCTAGCCTGGGGAGCCCAGTCAGGGCAGAGACAGGCAGGACAGGCCTCTGCAGCTGCAGAGCACTCAGAGAGCCTTCCTCAGCGCCCCCCTCCCCTCCCCAGCAACGATGCCGACCACCTCCCCGACAGCCTGTGGGAGGAGTGGCCAAGGCAGGGGAGCGGGACGCAAGGCCCAGGAGGCGACACAGCGTACCTGTCCAAGGGGCCCTCTGCTTTCCCCGAAAAAAAGGTGGTGACGTCCCGCCATCCCTTACTACCGACTCCCTGGACCTGGAAGGCGATGGGAAGAGGGGTTAGGAAGGCTCTGTCGCGGCACAGGCAGCTTTGGGAGGCCCCCACATGCAAGCTGGCACACGCCATCCCGCTGAAAAGACCCGGGTAAAATCCAGAAACATCCAGAAACAAGGGGTGCCGCGCACACGCGTACAGACACAGACACGCACAGCCACGCCTCAGTGGCACCAGGTGCATGCGGGACATGGCAGTGAGGACAGCCTCGGGCACAGACCTCGAGAGCTCCCACCACGTGCTCAGGAGAGAGGACCGAGACCTGCTCTTCCCTCCCCGTCTGCAGAGCACCTCATGCCAGGAAACAGGACAAAATGCACGCCCCGAATGGCCCGCAGAGCAGCGAGACCAATGGCAGCTAAGACGGCGCTGACCCTTACCGAGGAAAAGGCCAGTGGCAGCAAGGTAAGAGCAGGAGAAGTGACAGTTAGTGGCTGACCGGGCCGCAGTGGGCCAAGCTGTTTCCATATTCCTCGGGCCATCAGGCCGGGCAGCCCTCCTCCCATCTCAGAGGACAGCGGCCACTGCCAAGGCGGGCTGGGGGCTGCACGGGGCACACCCTGCTCTCATGCCCAGGGCCGTGGAATATGGAGACTGGCTTTGACTGTGCCCACACATGCGGCAGGCTCCCTACCTTGGACGCCAACTGAGAGACCCCACTGGACACATCATCAAAAATCTTTCCCTCCTTCACCTACACGGATTAAGACGGCAGCATTAATGAGGGCAGCAGAGATGAAAGCTTAAAGCTTCAGGAGTGCAGGAATCCCCAGGGTGAGGGCATCCAAAGTAACAGGGGCCTGGGGACACCCGTCAGGCTGAGCCCCAGAAAGTCCTACAGTGGCCCCAAACGGATTCCAGCATCAAGAGCCCACATCATTGCGAGGCCTGGCGTCTGCAGACGTGGCCCCCGCCAGCCGCTGCTGACAAATAGCAACATGACCTGAGGACGCCCATGCTGCCCCGGGGGTGCCTGCCCTGCTTGTCCCAGTCAAGCCCCGAAGGAGGCAGGGAGCTGGCGGGGCTCTTGACCCCCGAGGATAGTGGGCATCATTCCCGTACCAGAGCCTCCTCTGGGCACAGCTCCAAGGCCCGCTGTGGGGGTGAGGCAGAGGACGGAGGTGGGCTGGGGGGCTGCAAGGGAGGCCCTAGGCCAGGGAAAGGGATGAGCTGGGGGGTCTGAGAGGTACCTCTCTGAGTCCCAGCTGCTGGACAATCCCCTAACGTCCCTGACGCACCCACATCCCCCGGAGTGAAGAGCTCCAGGCACAAGCAGCACGTCAACCACCTGCAGCTGCCCATTACCTTCTCCTGCGCAGGCTTGAGGACGTTCTCGTTCAGGCTGTGGCCCAGCTCGGACGCCTGCAGGAAGGAAAGTCATGTGAGCCCCATGGCAGCTCCACCAAGAGACACGGGTCGTCAGTGGCAGTCCAGGCCAGCAAAGGGCAGTGCGAGCTTCACCAGCAGGAAGGCAGGAAGGCAGCAGGATACAAATGCAGGGAGCAGGAAACAAGGCTTCGCACACAACACCTGAAGCGCAGTCGGTTGCCACATCTAGGAGGTGGAGACCGTGGCCCTCCCACCCCTATTCTCGCAGGAAGTGCCCTCAGGACGCGGGGGAGCTCCCTCTGGGGTCCTCCCTCACGGGCCACCATGCGGCCAGCAGGGCTGGGCTGGTGGGAACATGCCCTGTGCAGCCTGTGCCTGACGCCAACACCAGCTATAGCCACCCTGTGCTGACCTAGGACGCAGCTCTGCCTCCCCAGGCAGGCACTGAGTCCCCCATGGAGGGAAGAGGGCACGCAGGCCGGGGCCACAGGAAGAAGCTGCTGAGAAAGGAGCTCAGCCTCTCCTGATCCTGGGTCAGTGGCGTTAAGGCCACCTGGGGATGTGGTGTGAGGCCTCCTCTTCCCCCAAAGGCAGGGAGCAGCACGGATCAAAGGCCGGAAAGGGAAGAACTCTCACAGAGCAAAGATCCTCCCCTTTGCACTGGGTTTGAGGGAGCGCAGGCAGCCTGGAAACCCTGCTCAGCAGCTCGGCGCTCAGTGCCCCTGCCCTCCCTCCGGAGCCTCCCCAACAGCAAGCCTGGGTCGGGGGTCTGTGTGTTCTGGAGATGGGGGTCTCGTTTAGTTGCCCAGGGTGGAGCGCAGTAGTACTGTGCAGGGCTGACAGCCACAACCAAGCCTGGTGCAGATCCTGGATCTTAAAGGAGAGCCACGGACCGAGGCAGGGAGAGGGTCTGAGCGTGCGCACGCGTGAGGTGACACCAGACAGCAGCAGCGGGACCGAGGCAGGGAGAGGGTCTGAGCGTGCGCACGCGTGAGGTGACACCAGGCAGCAGCAGCAGCGGGACCGAGGAGGCCAAGCACACTGTCAGCAGAGATGCGGGCGGCATGCACGAGCAGACACGGGCTTTACCGGCTCCGGCTGCTGCTTGTGACCCCAAAACTTTACCCGACAGCAAGGAGACAGGTGAGGAGAGAGCAAGGGGAGGGGCGGCATTAGTAACCAGCAGCGCCTTCGAACCCACCACGGAGCGCTGCAGCACTAAGGCAGCACCGGGCAGGCTCTCAGCAACACAACCCTGGAGCAGCCGCTCCCTGCCCAGGAACTGACCACCACCTGTAGGAACTGCTGAGCGACTGCAGCTCAGGACCCTGGGAGGCCTGCGGCAAAGCCAGGCAGGCGTCCCTGCAGCTGGGGGTGGGCACGTGGGGAGACTCCCTCGGACAGGAAGGGGGTGCTATGGGCCACAGGGGTGACTGATGGGCACCTTGTGAGAATGGACCCCCTCGCCCGGGGGCAAGGGCGTGTCCTAAAAAGCCACGCACAGCTCCACACCTGCAGTCCTGAGCTTTCATGGTGGACCTCACGTGGGCACTGCCTCCTGGGTGTGATTCTGAATCCAAGGACAACCAGACCACAGCCCTGACCACCAAGTGGGGACTGTGGGGCCCCCACCCACATCCTAAAAAATATAAAAACATAGGCCAGGCATGTTGGCTCAAGCCTGTAATCCCAGCACTTTGGGAGGCCGAGATGGGTGGATCATGAGGTCAGGAGATCGAGACCATCCTGGCTAACACAGTGAAACCCCGTCTCTACTAAAAAATACAAAAAACTAGCCAGGCGAGGTGGCGGGCGCCTGTAGTCCCAGCTACTTGAGAGGCTGAGGCAGGAGAATGGCGTGAACCCGGGAGGCAGAGCTTGCAGTGAGCCGAGATCCGGTCACTGCACTCCAGCCTGGGTGACAGAGCGAGACTCCGTCTCAAAAAAAAAAAAAGAAAAAAAAAACATGCAAAGGCCTGAGGCCACACTGCCTACAACTGGGGGATGCCCTGGCCAGGGCAAAGGGACCCTCCGTTGCCTCAGCATGCAGACACATCCTACGTGCTGCAGGCACAGCACCACCCGCGACAGCCCTTCCGGCTGAGCGGCCACCGCCAGTGTGGGTCATCTGCCAAGCCACGCAGTCCTGCTCCCAACGAGGTGGCCAGCGCAGTGGCTGCACACCTGCACCAGCTACCAGTGAACAGGAAACGAGTTTGGCACGGCAGGCCCTGAGCAGGTACGTGAGGCAGCCACCCCGGCATGAGGAGGGAGCAACACGGTGGGCACAGCCCCTCCTGCACTCTGAGCGCGTGGCCTTGAGAAGAGGGAACCAGGCAGCTACAGGCACTGCACGTGACGTCAGAGACTCAGGATAGTTTTAGAAGCACCAGGGTTCAGAAGCTTCTCCTCTGTTACCTTCTGACTTGCTTGGGATCCAAACTTTGTAGCCTACAATGAAAAACAGACAAGGCTTGACGGTCTTTAACACGGACTGCCAGGCCTCCTTCCTCAGGGCCCACAGACTCAGGTCCAGGACTGTCTCCCAATGGCCCCTGGGCTGCCAGCAGCTCTCGGGTGGGGGGGACTATAACTCTGAGATGCCCAGAAGAGCTGCAGTGGGGCCTGGATTGGCACAAATGCTGGCGTCTCCCTGGAAGGCGGCCAGCCCAGCAAGCTATTGGGGCGAGGGCACATGTGAGCAGTGTGCGAGGCCAGGGAACAGCAGGGCCAACCCCATCCTCCAGACTTCAGGACAGGGCGGGGACCTGCTGGAGCAGAGGACAGGCTGGGGAAGCCACACCAGCACTGTCTCTTCAATGGGTGGCGCCACTGCCCCAGGCTCATCTACCCCGCTGCGGGGGCAGCTCCATGCCAAGCACAGTCCAGCCACCTCGGTCACTTTTACGCTCTGGGGGAGGAGAAAAGGCCTGGCCGTGACACTGGCTGGAAGGTACCTGGGCCTCCCCAGGCCGCAGCCCTCCCGTGGTGACGGAAAACGGAGGCCCTGGCGGGAACCAGAACCTCACACTTGGCAAAGTCACGGGGCCATGAGAGCTGGAGGCTGGACACCTGGCCTGCTGCCCCTTCCAGGGCGCTCCCAGGCCTGCCTCTCCCAAGGAAGACACGGGGCCAGAGTGACCACGGGGACCTCTGACAGGTGCACACTGTGACTGGGGAAGCCACGGGGCCAGGGTGACCATGGGGACATCTGACAGGCGCGCACCGTGACTTCCGCTCATAAGAGCCCTAAACTGGGTGCCTCGGCTGCTTGTCTGGGCAGCTGCAGGCACCCAGCTGCCCTGCTCTGGGCTTCCCCTTCTCCTTTCACACCACAGCCCAGCCCCCGGCGGCCCACGCCCCATCCTGATGCCAGGCCTGCTCTTGGGTCTCTGCCTAATGCTGCACTGTCTGCCCTGACGAAAGCCCCAAATCATCCCGTTTCAGGCTGAGGAGCGGCAAAAGAGAGAAAACGCTACCAAAACATGACTTGAGCCCCAGAAGCTCTAGGGCACAGGGCGCCCGAGACCTGCCCTGCTTGGTTAGGGTGGAGTCTAGGAATCAATGGGGCTCACATCTCCCTCACTTTCATCAGGGCGGGACCCCTTTGCCAGCAGCTGGTCTGACACAGGAGCGGCTCCTGACAGCCTGGGCTGCTGTGTTCCTGCAGAACCTCCAAGGCCTTGGGACCACCCTGGCTGGTACTGCGTTGGCACAGCCCATGGTTGGAGCACCCAGAAACCCTCTGTGTCCCACATCCCTTCTGCAGCTCCCAGAACGAGGTGGCCAGCGCAGTGGCTGCACACCTGCACCAGTTACCAGTGAACAGCAAACAAGTTTGGCCCCGCAGGCCCTGAGCGGGTACATGAGGCAGCCACCCTGGCATGAGGAGGGGAGCAACGTGGCAGGAACAGCCCCCTCCTACGCTCTGAGAGGCAGCGGCCCCCACAGACCAGCAAGCGGCCGGTGTCCTGAGGGCCTGGTGGGGACAGTGACTTACGCCCTCCTTGGCTGCTGAGGCAAACCGGCTGGCTCCAGTGGTGAAGCTGCTCCAGCCCTGAGGAAGGCGACAAAGAGCAGCTGCATCAGGACTGGGACCCAGGAACCCGGCGCTGAGCAGAGCATCTCAGCAAGGATGAGGACCAGGCCCCCGCCCCGTCCTGACCCCACAGCGCCTGCTTCGCCAGGCTGCTGGAGGAGTACAACTGGACCCAGGGCACAACTGACACGCGCCCTCTGCCCCAACCTCGCCAACTGCAGTGCTCCCAACACGGTGCAATCCAGCCTCCTGTGGATCCCACCACCCTCAAGAAGCAAGCCCACACTGCAGGGCAGGACCCCTCCCCAGGGCCAGCGCTCCCTCCTGCCTCCCTAGAGGAACAGGCAGAGGTGAGGCATGTGGGGTCACAACCGCTGTAACCTGCTCTAACCTGCTCTCCTCCCCACGGCTGGCGCTTCCTCCTGCCTCCCCAGAGGAACAGAAAGAGGTGAGGCGTGTGGGGTCATGACCGCCGTAACCTGCTCTCCTTCATCTATGCTCAGGGTTTCCTCCTGAGTCTCCTGAGATAATTAAAGCTATTTAGAAAAATAAATGTCTCATTTCAATCACAACTCATCCTCCTCCTCCTAAAGGAAACACAAAGGGACCCTCACTTGAGAGATCACTAAGCTGAACTGCCTTCCCCAGAAAGCAGATGCCCAGCAAAAGGCAGCAAAACGGCCACACACAGGCTGGAAAATGCACTTTTCTTTCCTAACGATGCAGCAATGACTGCAAGAGAAAGCAACCATGGCCGTCAGTGGCCCGAGGTGCAGCCAGGCCACCCCGAGCAACTGGAAGCCACACACACTTGGGGGCTCCCAAGACTCTATGGCAGGGCTCCTTGCAGATGAAGCCATCCGTTTTAAACCTGCTTATTTTTAGCTAACATACTTTGAAGATCTTGTCATGTTAGTATTAAAAAATCCTTTCTGGCCAGGCATGGTGGCTCATTCCTGTAATACTGGGACTTTGGGAAGCTAAGCAACTCAAGAGGCCCAGGTGGGAGGATCGCTTGAACCCAGGGTTCGAGGCTGCAGTGAGCTATAAATATGCCACTGCACTCCAGCCCTGGCAACAGAGCAAGACCCGTCTCAAAATAAATAAATCAACAAATAAACAAGTCCTTCCTTGGCTCTCAGCGCAAGCTCCCATTCACGCGGCCCCTGTGGCCAGAGTCTCAGGTTGCTAGTGTCACAGACAATAATGCTGCGATGAATAAAAATCTTTCTTTTTTTTTGACACGGAGTCGTACTCTGTCGCCCAGGCTGGAGTGCAATGGTGCTATCTAGGCTCACTGCAACCTCTGCCTGCCGGGTTCAAGCAATTCTCCTGCCTCAGCTTCCTTAGTAGCTGGGGCTGCAAGGCACATACCACCCTGCCTGGCTAATTTTTATATTTTTTAGTAGAGACGGGGTTTCGCCATGTTGGCCAGGCTGGTCTCGAACTCCTGACCTCAGGTGATCCGCCCGCCTCCACCTCCCAAAGTACTGGGATTACAGGCGTGAGCCATCACACCTGCAAGAATCATTTTTTAAAGACGGTAAAAATTTCCTTGGAAAATGAAAATCAAACAACATGTATTTCCGTTAATAGGAAAATGGCAACAAGCCCAGGGTGTCCTACTCTGAACATCTGACCTGGAGCTTCCAGGCACCCCCAGACCAGAGGTGGCCCTGAGTGACCTCGGGTAGCGCCCGAGCGGCTTCCCAGCACGGCCAGACCCCCAAGCACAGAGCCAGCTTCCCACTGCACACAGCACTCCCTCTGCAGAGAACACGGCCAAGCGGCTGCCGTCAGAGCCCTTGGGTTCCTTGGAAGAACGTCCGCTGTTGGATTTGAAATACACACATTTTGTGTCAGAAGTAAGTAAGTGTTGGTTGGGTGCGGTGGCTCACTCCTGTCATCCCAGCACCTTGGGAGGCTGAGGTGGACAGATCATCAGAAGTCAGGAATTTGAAACCAACCTGGCCAACCTGGTGAAACCCCATCTCTACTAAAAACACAAAAATTGGCTGGACGTGATAGTGGGCGCCTATAATCCCAGCTACTCAGGAGGCTGAGGCAGGAGAATCACTTGAACCTGGGAGGCAGAGGTTGCAGTGAGCCAGATTGCGCCACCGCACTCCAGTCTGCAGCCTGGGCGACAAAGCAAGACTCCGTCTTTTAAAAAAAAAGAAGTGACTGAATTTGGGATCTGAAAAATTTAAGCCACATTTTTGCAAGAAAACGTCACTGAAGGTAAGGGACGGGTCCTTAGATCACAGCAAGGCAAAGAGCACGTGTTCCAGGACTGCCACACTGCCCCCGACGGCCCGGCGTGCCCTCAGTCCGGGTCTGCCCATGGGAGATGCTCTGCAGGGCCCACAAGTCCTCACCGAGTACAGGGAGGACATGGCGTTGTTGAGGAAGTCATCTTCTTTCTTCTGAGGCGGTGGCGTGTTCCCAAACCCCACATAGCGATTCCCCTGGGCTCTGAAAACAAAGCGGACAAGAGGCTGAAGATGCTGGCGTGAACCCTGCTCCTCCTGAAGGTATGGGGCCCTGAACAGAGGTGAGGCTGAGGCTCTGAGGGATGTGCCAGCGTCCCCACGCACAGGACGTGCACGCTGCCTCCCGTAGCAGCAGGAGCCTTGGCAGCTCCCCAGCAGCAGATAGACGTGCTTCCTGCTCATTTAAAAAGACCCTCCTGCCACATCACCAGAGAGGGTCCCTGGCAAGTCCCCAAACCCAGTCACAAAAGTACTGGAAGAAGGATCAAAACAACTTAATATGACAGCTTTGGGGATTAAAAATTCACGTATAGGTCCAGCAAATTCCAAGCAGAAAATGTGTTATGCTTTTCTTCTAAGTGTTAGCTCTTCTCTACACCCAAGACCCCCAATCCACACCCGGGTGGGCAGCCGGGGCTCACTGCAGTCAGACCCTGCACCGGCACGTACGGGTCCCACACCCACTGCACACGGGAGGCCCCGAGGGAAGCAGCCCTACCCAGCAGACTGAACCCCGTGGGTCTGGCCTTCCCCAAGCATCCCCAGCTCTCAAGTCCTTACCCTTGATAGGAGCCAAGGTCATCATTCAGCCAGTCTTCGAAAGCCTTGTCCGAGGAGGCGGTCACACTCTGCGGCTGGCCAGAAGCTCTGAAACCAAGAATCAAAGGTTGGTGAGGTCAAAACTGGGTGAAGTCTGAGGGAACCCCAGCAGCACCCCCAGAACCATGTGGCCTACGTGGGCAGCGCCTTCACGTCACCCAAGAGCACCTGAGGCCAGGGTGGCCTTCAGCTCTGAGCGGATGTTCAGGCTCAGGTGCTGAAACCCAGCAATGCCAGCCTCATGGGCAACATGAGAGGCCTCCGCAGTGGGCGCTGCACTCTCCCCGTCAGCAGGAGGCAGAGGCGAGAGGTGGGGCAAGAGGACCAAGGGCCTGGAATCAAGCTGGAGTTGCCCGAAGTGCAAAGCCTTCTGCCAGAAACACCTGGCTGGCGGGGCTCTGGGGCTCCGGGTGAGGTGGGGAGGCCTCGTGCTACCCAGTCACCTCACCCGGGACGTTCCCTGCAGTGGGACGTGGGATGCATCCATGACAGGGGTCAGTTCAAGGGTGGCAGGGCCAGTGCCACAGGTAGATGGGCAACTCTGGGGAAGGGGAGACAGCACCTCTGTGGGCAGACAGAGTCGTGAATCCCACAGCGCCACGGCGCACACGGCTGTGTGCTAATGTGAATCCCACAGCGCCACGGCGCACACGGCTGTGTGCAAATGTGAATCCCACAGCGCCACGGCGCACACGGCTGTGTGCAGACGTGAATTCCCACAGCGCCACGGCGCACACGGCTGTGTGCACATCTGGAAGGCGTGCAGAGCTTACCTGGGGCATTCTTTGAGACAGCTTTATGGGTTGAAATTTACGAAAAGCTTGAATTGTTTTGGCAATTTAAAAAATCTGTTTTTCCCACTGACTTCTGGAAAAAGAGCTGTCACAACAGCAAAGAAGGGAATTCTGTGGGGTAACCCAGTCGACTAAGATCAGGGCCCAGTGGAAACTGCACTGAGGCCCCATGAGGAGCAGCTACCGGTGTGCCGTGAACGGCAGGGTCCTGGGCTGAGGTGGGGTCCAGTTCTGGGCAGGTGATGACTCCAGAGACCACTCTCTACCTTCGGCCAGAGCGGCCACCTGACAAGGAGACACGGGGCATCAGAGAGCACAAAGGTGCCTGGCGACACCCTTGGGCACCGGTGACTCTAGCGCAGCCCCCTCGGCCCACCTGGAGCACCCACCACCCGCAGCCTCCTCCTGGCCCCCCTCGACGGCCCCTGCTCAGGTGCACAGACCAGGCGTGGACGCGAGGCCAGGGCTCCCTTTACATGAACAACGGAGCTGGGGAGCTCCTAGTTGGTGCAGCTCCAACTTCAAACGCAGGGGGACCCACCCATTTGGCCTCCAAACTTCTTAGAAACACTGTGCCCAACACGTCACAGAGACAGTAAACGGTCACAGCTACTTTCTCCCCTGGAGGCGGGGAAGGTCCACCTCTCCCACAAGACATTTGCCTCCCTCTGGGCGGGGCAGCAAGGACCACGACATTCCTTTCTGTCCCGGACTATGTGTGGCCCAGTGGGTGTGTCAGAACCAGCAAAAGAACCAACTCCAGAACCACTAAAGGCAGAGCAGCCCCGCACCATGGGCAAGAGTGAGTCGGGCCCATCTCTACCTTATCCCTAAAGAGGGCCGCGGCTCTGCTGTTGTACTTCTCCTGCAAGGACCAGCCGGGATCATAGTCCTCCTGAGACTCCAGGAACTCTCGGAACTTAGCATTCCCGCCAGCTTTCATCTTCTCAAGCTCAATGTCCTTCCACTTGTCCATAGTAACAGAGCGCACAAAGCTGGAAACCAGAGGATTGAGCAAATCAACCAGCACCGGGGACACCCAGGGACACCCTCCACCCAGCATCGTCCTGAGGATTAGACACAGCAAGCAGCAGCCGCAGGGAGGCCGAGTGGCCAGCAGCTGGAACCCTGTGCCATGGCGTCACTGGAGTGGACACTGGCAACTCAATGGGAGACGGCCTCCAAGCTTCCCCGGCGTCAGCACCTCCAGTGTCAGAAACAGACGCTGGGATGGCCGCAGGCTCTCCACAGAGCCGGAGTGGTAGGACACTGACCTGAGGTGCACCCCAAGCCCACGGTGTCTCCCCGAACATTCCAGGCAGATCCAGATGCCATAGGTCACACTGACCCACTGAGGATTGAATGCGCCACACTCAAAACAAACCTGCAAAGGGGCCACAAGTGACTCACCAGGTGGCTCAGGGCAAAGCCCAGGGACCCCAAAGATCCGACAGGTGCCCTCAAGAAGCAAATGCAGAGGGCTGCCCAGGGTGGCTGGGGGTGTGGGTCAGGGCAAGGCGTGAGGGGAAAGAGCCTCCCATGTAATAAAATGTTCAGATGGGAAGACGAGGTGGACCTGTCCTTAGAGCGATGTGGCCTGAGGAATGTGGAGGAGCCCCCACCCCCAACAGCCAGCACTGATGAGCGCCAGAAATGGCACCACTCTAAGAGCCGGCCACCCAGGCCACCAGCCAGCACAAGTCACACACGTCCAGAGGACGCCAACCACCATCGACTCCAGGAGGGTCTCAGAACCACGGGCTCAGAGCACAACTTTCCGAGACTCGCTGACCCTGACCAAGGCGTGGGGCGGGGGTGGGAGGCAGAGGCTTACGTTGTTCTCGTCCTGCACCCTGACTTCTTTAAGAACCTTCCTGGTTCTTGGGCTGGCCATGACGCTGCAAAGGAGAAAAACAAACACGTTAAACTTACAAACAGGCTACTCTACAAAAAAGAAAATAACGTCTGTCCAAAAACCCCACACAACAGAAAACCTGAGAGGCCATCTGCTGAGCTGCTGGGAAGCCCTGGTCACCGGGCCGCCCGCTGCAGGGGCCGAGAGGACCACGTACTGAAGGACTCTGCTCCCCATACCCCCAGGAGGCTCCCAGGCTGTGGCCAGGGCGATGGCCAGGAAGACCACGTAATTACTGGTGCCACTTTGCTTACGGTTATCCACCACCAAGACCGCATCATTTATAGAAAGCCCTGTCTTCTAATGGTGAAATTCACAGCAAGGGGTAGTCTTTAACAACACACACAGACTGGCTGCTAAATTCGATTTTCCACCTAAAAGGCGACACACCACACTTGGGCTGATCACTGCCAACGACAGGGAGCCCAGGGACTCGGTGCTCCACCCTCCCCACCACATCCCCAACGCAGTGCAGGGAGGCTCCTGCCCGTGTTGGGGCAGAAGCGGTACCCTGCCTGGAATGTGTGGAAAGTCCAGCCTGCTGGGAGACCTGCACGTAGGGCCTTCTGGGGCCATTCTGAGGCATGGGGGCAACAGTGTGGCTGCTGCAGGACAAGGAGAGTGGCTTCAGACCATCAGCCCCGCCACGGTGACTCACAGGGACCCTAGTGGGACAGTAGCAACAAGGTTTAGGGTGAAGAGAAAACCTATTGATGTCTCTGTAGCTCTCCTAGCTTTAGCAAAGTACAACTTCAACTGATGGCCCATCTAATTCAGGACCAGGAAAATCGACATAGTTAAGATTCAAGCAGGAGGAAGGGGTGGTATCAACCCCAGCGTCAAGGGAGAATGACCCAGCGGTCCTACACACAACAGCACCGAGCAAACTGTAGAAGACAGTCCAGCCTGGAGGCAGCAGACCTGGATCCCCACCAGCCCACGCCTCAGGGCACTGTTTCTCTGAGGCTCACCCACCTCTCAATACAAACGGAGCCGTGTGCTGTTCCCTCTACCTCTCACTACACGGAGAACACACAGAACTCTGTAAGCCATGGGACCTTCCCAGCACCAGCCCTTCCCTACTTCACTGTGTTTAGGAGGACCGTGTAGACCAGCTTTCCCACTAACGTTGTAGGTGGAACTTTACGTTGAGGTGAAGCTTTAAAAAAATTAAAAATTTTTTAAAAAACCCCTCTGTCCTATATTTCATTTCTAATCTTCAGTATCCAGAAACAAAGTATTCACTGGGGGGGTCCCAACTCCACACAGCCAAAGTTTCTGAATTCTGAAGCCCATGACTCCTAATATTGACCAGTGCCCACTTTAAACCCATTCAAAGTCAGGAAATAAACACCTGTTTTCTGCAGTTCATAAAAACAAAATCAAAAGTTCACCCTGGGCTCCCTTCTGCTCCATAATTCTCTGTGCCTTGTGTGAGAGTGTCCAGGAACCACAGATCATGAGGCAGTGAATGCTCACTCCTGATCGCAGGACTCGGACCCCAGCATGACTCATTCAGGCGGATACCGCCATCAAACTGAGCATCCACCGGTACAGCCGACTGAGGACGGAAGAGGGAGAACCTGTGTGGAGAGATGCCCTGGCAGGCGGGGAGCGAGGCTGAGCTTACAGGGTCCTCGGGACACATTTTTGTACAGCAGCCGCCGACGGCCCTGGCAGAACTACTGCACACACAGAAGCCACGGCCACGGAGGGGAGGTGAGCCGTCAAAGCAGGGTGAGACCAATCCAGGTCTCCACACTCAGTCCTGCACTCTTTCCACAGCACCATGCCTGCCCTCAGGGGCTTATGTCTTGGTCAACAGACACAAGCAAACAAAAGTCAGAACCATGAGGAGATGGCTTGAATTTCTAACTGTAAAACATACAGGATACTCACAGAACCACCGGAGGAAGAAAATGTGCAAAAAGGAAAGGACTCAGCTTGGATTTAAAAGGAACTCCTCTAGATGACTCATTGTGGATATTCAAGAGCCCTAGTTCCCTGAAATGTTAAAGTTAATAACACGAAAGCAAATACCTCCTAACCTTCAAAGCACAAATATGGTTTATCTTGAAAAATAATCCAAAACTCTTAACACTTGAAACCAAGATGCAAAAATATACCTCCTTCTGCAAGTGGATGTGACTTCAGCAAACGTCAAACCCAGTGAGGACACTCTGTGTTAGTTCGGTAAGCTCCGGAGACTTCAAAACTCAGGATCCATAAGTTGGAACATTCTCAGTACGTGAGATCAAAAGGGATATTTAAGAACACTGTTTAGACCCTAGGGCTGTAACACAGTGACCGGCAGAAATACTAGCAGTCGTTCCCAGAAACTGTCTGAAGCGCCTCAACTACCCACGTCTAAGAAGAAGAGCCCTTTCGCTAAAGCACGGATTACTTCTGAACTTTGACAAGGACATGGTCCCAGAAAGGGACGCCAAAACAAAGCTAAGGGCTTCAATTCCCTGGGCCACTTTACAGCCGAACTTTGGTGCTATAATCAGCAGAGCATGACAGGAATATTAGACCTGCAAAAAATGAGCAGAATTACTTCTCAGAATTGGTGGGCTGTAATTAAAACTGTTTAAAAGAACAGGCAAGAAGCACAGGTCTTCTAAACACACATAAACTGAGAAGTTTTAAAAGCCCCTTCCTGGTTTCTTTTTTTCCCTCAAGACAGTCATCCACGTCAAAGGGTAAGGAGGAAAACCAAGCGAGCTGAGGCTGCCATTTCTGATGAGACTGGGCTCACCAACACCTGCTGGGCAGGACCCTCACTTCTTAGCGGGTGGAAGCTCCACCGGGCTTCAGAGGCCACCTGACTGGGATGTGTCCAGGCCGAGTCCTGTGTCCGAAGGAGCTCGGGAAGAGGGTGTTGAAGGAGACGGGGCAGGGTCCTGCTCGCGCCCCAGGAAGCGACGTGGGTGGGCAGGACCCTCCGGACTCCCGTAACCGGTGGGAAATTCCAGAGCCGGGGTGCGGGTGGAGGGCAGCTTCGGAGGGAAGGGGGCACGAGGGGCGGGGGGCGGCACGGCGGAGGGGCGGCTGCAGCAGGGCGTCCGCGCGAGAAGGGCCCCGCCGTCCAGCGCCGAGGGGACTGGGGGAGGTCGGGGTGGGCGTCCCCAAGCTCTGGGGCATCAGCCTCGGGGTGGAGCGGGGTCCGGGCGGGGGAGGCTGCGGCGGGGAGTCCGCCCGCGAAGGCCGGGGACGACGCCGCGGCAGCCGGGGCCTCAGGCCGAGCCCGGGCCGCCGAGCCGCGCGCTTACCTGACGGGCCGCGGGGGTCAGGCCAGGGCCGGGTTCGGACCGCCGCACTGCAACGGGGATGCGCCCGGTCGCCCACCAGCCGCCACCAGCTTCCGGCTACGTTGCGCTTTGCAAGGTCTCATGGGAGCCGGCAGGGGCGGGACTTCCGCCTCAGGCCCCAGCCCCCCCCCCCCCCCCCCCGGGCGCGCACTGGCCCGGTCGCCATGGAGACGCGTAGCTGCGCCGTCCAACTCCCACCCCAGGCCCCGGACCGCACCTGATCGCGGTGGCCGCGGAGGACAGCAGCGTTTGGGGGCCGGGCGGGAGAAGCGTCCGTGCATCCGTAGAACCAAACTGAGGTGCTTCTGGCACGGCGCGTTCACCGGGGGCCGACAACGGGGGCGGGGCGGGTGGGGGCCTGGGGCGGGAGCTGCGGGGCTGGAACCGCCCGGCAGGGGGACGGGGTAGGAGGACCGGGGGCCATGGAGGACGGGCAGAGGGGCGAGGTCTACGGGGCGGGGGCAGAGGGGCCAGGACAGCTGGGGACCGGCAGGGGGACTCGGGTAGGAGGACCGGGGCAGCGGGTAGGGAGGCGAGGGTCACGGGCAGTGGGCAGCGGGGGACTGGCGCGGGGGTGGAGGGTTGCGTCCTGGAGCCCGTGCTCCCGCCCTAGGGTCTGAGTCTGTCTTCCACCACCCTAGCCTTTGGGCCCTGGTGGGAGGCGGCGGGGTTGAGAGGGTCCGCAGGCCCCCACCCCTGCCACGCAGATGCCCCAGGGTGCAGGTGTGCAATGGTGGGACCCGAGTCTGCACTAGGAAGGTACACAGCTGAAAAAGCGATCACCTGTGGGAGGTTAGTTGCAGGTAATTTTTTGTTTTGTTTTTACTTTGTTTTTTTCTGTGCATTCCACGTGTTCCTCATTGATCTGGGTGACTTTCGAAATGATGGAGAATAAACATTTTTATTGAGGTATAAGCTACACACTGCAAAACGTGCAGTTCAATGAGTTTTGATAAATGCATACCCCCAGGTAATGTCTACCATAGTCAATTATAGAACATTTCCATCGGAGGCAGCTACTCTTCTGATTCCAATATCGCCATATCTTAGTTTTGTCTCTTCTGGAATATCACACAAATAGCGTTGTGCAAAATTATACCTTCGTGATGGCTTTCCTTTAACGTGATGTCTCTGAGATTCAGCCACATTGCACGTATCCGTAACTGGTTCCTTTTTATTGCTGAGCAGTGTGCCATGGAAAACACGCCACATTCCTTCATTTATTCACACTTTGGACACTGGGGTCGTGTCAGTTTTGGCTAGTATGAGTAAAGCTATCTTGAAAGGTCTTTGTGTAGGCATATTTTTTCTTCCTCTTAGGTGATTACCTAGAAGTGAAATTTCTGGGTCCTGGGTAGGTGGGTATGGAACATTATTAAAACATGCTAAGTGGTCGAGCGCAGTGACTCACGCCTGTAATCCCAACACTTTGGAAGGCCGGGGCAGGCGGATCACCAGAGGTCAGGAGTTCAAGACCAGCCTGGCCAACGTGGCGAAACCTCATCTCTACTAAAAATACAAAAATTAGCTGGGCTTGGGGGCGCACACCTGTAATCCCAGCTACTCAGGAGGCTGAAGCAGAATTGCTTGAACCCTGGAGGTGGAGGTTGCAGTGAGCTGAGATTGCGCCACTGCACTCCAGCCTGGGCGACAGAGCGCGACTGCATCTCAAAACAACAACAACAACAAAAAAGATGGTAAGCATTTCACGCTTCCGCCAGCGATGTGTGAGGTCCAGCTGTTCTGCGTGTCTGTCAACACTGGGTATTGTTGGTCTTTTGACGGCAGCAGGACTTGTGGGTACAAAATGGTGTCTCAATGCCGTTTATTTGCCCTCAGGAGGGAGTCACCAGTTCTTGCAGTAAGAAACCACTGGTGTGCACAGAAAGGAGAGAGCCAAGGTGATGTGCACAGGCATATCTACCAGCAGCATCGACACAAGTGGCAGTTGGAACAGTGTAGATTTCAGCACCGGATCTCATGGTCAGGACTGTGTGGGTGCCATGTCCTGGATTAGTCACAGTGCGCTGCCTGGAAGAGGTGGACTGTGAAGGTTGAGAAGCTGAGAAGGAGGAGAGGAAGAGGGAAGGCAGTCTTGGAAGGGGCACAGTTGGGGCCAACATCTGGCATTGGGTGACCAGTGGAAGCTGAACTTGCGGTTTTCTGATTGTAAAGCCAGTAGTCAGAGTGCTGCCTCATCAACCAGGCCCACCCAGACTCTGGGAGGTCTGGGGCTACCTCCACCCCTAGAGCAAGGCCCCAGTTCCTACAGCTCAGATCAGAGGCGTGGCCCTTCCAAGGACAGGGTAGCTCCTGCCTCACAGCATCCACAGCAGCCTCGCCTCTCCCTGCAATCCCTGGCTCGCAGTGGCCAACTCACAGCAGGGCCAAAGCTCACTCGGTGGCGGGATCTGGCAATGGAGTGGGGAATGGTGCGGAACCTGCAGCTGCAAATTGAAAACATTCTATTTTCCCATCTAAAATATTTAGATAATTTGTTTTTCTTCTAGAACTGCCAGCAGTCCATTAATTTTCAGTTATAGTAATGTGATCATCTCTGTGCTTTCCTCCCTGAGGCTCTTGAAGGTCTTGATGTGAATAAAATCAAACAATAATACAAAAACAGTGAAATGAGAACTTCTGAGTAAATGGCTGTGCAGAGCTGCCTGGGCCACAGGCAGGTGAGCAGGAATGAAGCTGCTGTGAGCCAGGCAGGAGTCCAGGTCACCTGTGAAGTTGTGGGACCTGTGGCAAAGCACTGCCTTTCCCTGGACTCAGGTCACCCATCTGTGGAACAAGGTCCCTAGACCCAGGTCACCCATCTGTGGAACAAGGCCTCCAATTTCCCTTTCAAGCCTACACTGGCTGAGCACTTGCCAGAATCGCAGCCCTGGGCTCGATGAAGAAGAGCACATTTAAACCACACAACCATGCACTCTGATATGAACCCATTGTTCAGACGAGGAAACCGGGGCACAGTACAATTCAATAATTTGCCCAAAGTGAAAAAGATGGTAAGTGGTGGAGCGAAGCTTTGCACCCAGAAGTCTGTAATGCCCTTTTTGGAAGGAGAAGGGTGTGTGGAGCCAGCTGTCCACTAGGCCAGGAGGAGGAGGGTGTGTGGAGCCAGCTGTCCACTAGGCCAGGGCCAGGCGTGCCCTGTGATGGGGAGATACAGCGTCAGTTCCGGGGTGAGGACCACAGAGGTTTCGTTCTAAACACAAGGAACAGAGAAAGTGGGCAGGGCCTTGAGCATAGGTCCTCTGTGACCCTGTGTGGGCCTCACAGCCAGTCAGCCTTGTCCACAGCGTCCAGCCAGCTCCCAGCAGGGGTGGCAGAACCTGAGGAGCAGCTAGAGCTACCCAAGGCTGGGGTGTGTGCACACACGTATGTGCAGTGTGTGTATATGTGCATGTACGTGTGTGTGCGTGCATTTCTGTGCATGGGTACTGCATATATGGGTACATGCCTTCAGGCTCATCAGCTTAGGGTCTCCATACTGGGTCAGTTATGGGGCATCCCCAAGGGCAGCCGCCCTCCTAGGGCTTCCTTGCAAGGCAGGTCCCACTGCATCCACACGTTGCATAGCTGCCAAGGCTGGGGATCAGGCTATGGAGAGACATGTCCAAAGTCCCACAGTGGGTGGCAGCAGCACACAGATGGGGCCCCAGGCCACCCCCACCCCAGAGGCCCCGGGCAGCCTTGCTGGAATGCCTCCAGCATAGCCAGAGGGTCAGGGGCCCCAGGCACCATGTCCCTTCCTGCCTGATCCGCCCTCCACGGGGCCCCTGCGCGGTCAAAGCACCTCCCACTCCAGCAATTTGTGCAGCTCTTGGGAAGCCCCGCTGTCTGCATCTAAGGAGTGGCCGGGAGCCTCCTGCATGGCAGGACCAACGGGCGTCTCGAAATGACTTTTGGTCTCGTCAACTGTCCAGGGCTCCAGGCCCCCATGAGAGGTGCATCTGGCCTTAGTGTCACCAGAGCCCTTAGTCTCCCCCGGACTCTGAGCTCACCTTGAAAACTGAGGCTCAGCCCAGCAGACATGGCCATGCATCCGGCTGACAGCCCCTCCCAGCTCAGCTCCTCCCATCCTGCATCCCGCCCGCCTTTCTCCAGGGAGCACGCCTGAATGTCGGGGAGCACGCCTGAATGTCGGGGAGCACGCCTGAATGTCGGGGAGCACGCCTGAATGTCGGTGTTCCTCTAAATTCCCATGTTGAAATCCCAACCGCCAATGTGATGGTTTCAGGAGATGAGGCCTTTGGGAGGTGATGAGGTCTCAAAGGCAGACCCCTCATGAATGGGATGAGTGCCCTCATAAAAGGGACCCCAGAGAGACCCAACCCCTTTTCCCATGCAAGGACACAGAGAGGAGGTGTCAGCTCTTAGGCAGCAGCCCCTCATCCAGCCCAGAATATTCCCATGCCTTGATCTTGAACTTCCAGCCTCCAGAACTGTGAGAAATGAATTTCTGTTGTTTATAAGCCACAGTCTACTGGATTTTGTTACAGCAGCCCGAGCAGATTAAAACAAGCACCTCCCAAAGAAACACTGGCACAGCAATCCCTGTCTTCAGCCTCCAGGGAACCTGACCTACGACAGCAGCCCTCCCAGCTGGCATTTCGGCTGCCGTGTGCTGTGATGGGTGCCAGCATCTCTTAGTGGGGGTGAAGGGGAGGGGCCAGCAGCATAGCAAAGGGGAAATCCTCCTGGATCGTCGCCTTTCTCTCTGCAGCCCTCTCCATCACCAGCGTCAACCTGCAAGTCAGGTCACCTTGAGCCAAAGCCCTCCTCGCTGGGCTGCTCCGTCCTCAGGCTGCTCCGCGCTCAGAGCTCCACGCTGCCTGGTACAGTCCCCGGAAGTTCTCCTGTCCAGTAGTTCCTTCTTTCTGCCCAGACCTCGCTCAGCACCGTCATCCTAGGAATAAAATCCCAGGAATAAAGTCATCATTCCAGGCCTCCCAGGAACTTGGGTTCTGGTCTTGTCTCTGCCCCGCCCTCTCGTACAGCTGCTGGGGGCCTCCAACCCCTGCTCACTCAGCCACGCCCTCTGCACCCTCCACCTGAGAGAATCCTGGTCACTCCCCTGGCCCAGCCCTGCCCCGTTGTCTGGGAGTGGCTGGAGGGCTGGCTCGTCCCCTCACCCCCTCCCTGTCTCTTGGTGTGTCCGGCCAGGGCTCACACAGAGGCAGCTCCAGGGAAATTCCTGTGGCTCAACTGCTGGGTCCTGCATTGCCACCATGATCACGGCCAGCTTGAGCGGTGACAGGTGGGAAGAAGTGAGGCAGGGGAGCTGACTCGCAGGAGGGGCTTCCAGGAAGGAGGGAGCCTGCAACCCCAGGGCACCATGGGGGCCTCGGAGGCTTGAAAGCCCCTTTGGTCCTGGGCAGGACCTCCAGAGGGAGCACGGCCAGCAGTTTGGGGTGGACCAGCCCAGATTTTGTTTTCTGCTAAAACAGGCACACGGCGTGGGCTTCCCTGCCACTCACCCCTCGCTTGGTGGCTTTCTTATGTCTCTATAGCAGAGGCTCGCTCGTTCCTCTTAACCACTGGCGTCTCTTACCTTCTCTAACTGGCCTCTGCTTGGAAGACAGAGTTCTCCTGTCACAATCATCATTACTTTGTTTTACCATCGATGTTGCAATGGACATATTTGTACAGTGACCTCTCTCTGTTTGTGCAAGTATTTCCACAGCATAGATCTCTAGAGGTGGAAGTGCCAGGTAAGTTCCAGGAGATTCCACCAAATTGTCCTCCAAACCCCGTGCCAGATGTGCTGATGGGAGTGTGCCTGTTCCTTGCATCCCTTCCCGGGCTTCCATTACCAAGGGGGCTGTCTCCGCCAGGCTCTAAGCACACACGTTACCATTGCCGTTTAATTTTCATCGTCCTTTTTTTTTTTTTTTTGAGACCGAGTCTCGCTCTGTCACCCAGGCTGGAGTGCGGTGGCCGGATCTCAGCTCACTGCAAGCTCCGCCTCCCGGGTTCACGCCATTCTCCTGCCTCAGCCTCCCGAGTAGCTGGGACTACAGGCACCTGCCACCTCGCCCGGCTAAGTTTTTGTATTTTTAGTAGAGACAGGGTTTCACTGTATTAGCCAGGATGGTCTCGATCTCCTGACCTCGTGATCCGCCCGTCTCGCCCTCCCAAAGTGCTGGGATTACAGGCTTGAGCCACCGCGCCCGGCCAATTTTCATCGTCTTAATGGTGGTGAGGCCAAGCAAACACACCCTGGCCATGGCATGTCCTGTGGATGCCTGTGTTTTTCTCTGCCCATTTTTGTCTCCTGTTGATCACCTTCCACCACCAGGTCCTTCTGAAACGGCTTTGTCCTGTGTCTGGAGAGAAGTACGTGGGGTTGGCCCGGGGTTGCCCATGATGATGCCGCCTTGGTCCTGGAGAGAAGCGCGTGGGGTTGACCCGGGGCTGCCCACAACGGTGCTGCCTTGGTCCTGGCTTCTGACCCGCTGCATGGTGGGACTACACGTGGCTGGTTCCAGCCCTGTCTGACCCCGCCCCGCTGCTGCCTGTGCGTGGTGTCCGGGAAGAACTGGGGCCCAGGACAGAAGGAAATGGGAGGAATGTCAGGGTGTGTGCATCGCCCAGAAGTACAAATGTTGCTCGACAATTCTGAGCTGCTCTGTCCTGAGCTCCAAGAAACTCGCAGCTGTGCTGCATTATGCGTGGCCACGGCAGCTAAGGAGTCACAGTTAAGAATGTGCTGAGACAGGGCCAGCTCCTCAGATTGCAGAACTGACAGCTTAGATCCCAGGGCTGTGACAGCTGGACCCACAGGGCCCTCCTGCTTTGGCCCCTCCCATGCGCATCTTAGCCAGGAATCTTTCCAGATTCTAGTTGCTAGAGGCAAAAATCTCAACCCCAGATGGCTTAGCAAAGGGAATGTATTGATTTGTGTGATGAAAAGTCTAGAACAAAGTTCAATTTCAGGTGTGACTTGATCCAGCAGCTCCACACTATTGCTGAGCGCTCTGTGTGCGTGTGCAGTTCCATCTTCACCCTGAGATCCCAAGATGCTTCTGGCAGCTTCTAAGGCTGCAAGCTTCATGATTCGCCTCCAGCAAGACAAAGTAACCTTGCACCAGCATCCCAGCCAAAATCTCACGCTCCACCCTGATGGGCCTAGCTGGGGTCGTGTGTCCACGTCCAAACAATCACCGGCCAGGAGGATAGAATGTGCTGACTGGGTGCCCTGGGCTCCAAGCTCCAGCCCTGAGGCCCATGTGGACTCAGTTTCCCCAGACTGTGAGGACCCCTAGCAGAAGACCAAGGTATTGGGCACAGAGGGCAAGGTATTGAGAGCCTTGCCTCAAACAGGCGCTGTGTGGCTGTGCTTCTATGCTCCCGAGGGACCAGGAGACTCTTCCTGTGCGATGGGAGTTGTTCCCATGTGTTCCCAGGCCCAGCTGGCTTCCAACAGCCAAAGCTGTACCAACGCTGGTGACCGACTGGTGGGCATTACCAGCTTCCCAAACTGGGCTGCTTCTCTTCTGCAGGACCAGGCAGTGTGAGGGTCGGGGGCAGCGACAGTGGGGGGAGAGAAGGGACTGGGCTGCGAGGGCACTGAGACATCTCCCCATCCAACCCCTGCCCAGGAAAGGGGGCGGGGCTTGTGCAGAGGCAGATAAACGCTTGACCTGACCAGCAGTTTAAAATATTGTTTCAGGCCAGGTGCTGCGGTTCACACCTGCAATCCCAGCACTTTGGGAGGCCGAGGTGGGCAGATCACCTGAGGTCAGGAGTTTGAGACCAGCTTGACTAACATGGTGAGACCCTGTCTCTACCAGAAATACAAAAATTAGCCAGGTGTGGTGGTGGACGCCCGTAATTCCAGCTACTCAGGAGGCTGAGGCAGGAGAATCGCTTGAACCCGGGAGGTGGAGGTTGCAGTGAGCCGAGATCGCACCAATGCCAATGCCTGGGTGACAGAGCGAGACTTCATCTAGAAAAAAAATAATAACATTGTTTCAATATTAAAACAAGCTTAAGTACATTACAAAGTGAAATTCAAGTGCATTTTAAGGATGAAATGGGAGCTCTTGGTGAAATCCCAAGTTTATAGCAGGCGGCTCTGGCTGGGCCAAGTCTCAGAAATGAGATCTGTTTCTTTAGAGACTTTGAGGAATGCTCACTGGGTCCCCAACTCACACCTCTGTTTTGAGATGACTTTGTTAATTAGTCATCCAACACCGCCCGTGTTGATTCACTCAACACTGACATTTCTTATGCCTGAATGTCGGGGAGCACGCCTGAATGTCGGGGAGCACGCCTGAATGCCGGGGAGCCCGCCTGAATGTCAGGGAGCAAGCCTGAATGTCGGGGAGCACACCTGAATGTCGGGGAGCACGCCTGAATGTCGGTGTTCCTCTAAATTCCCATGTTGAAATCCAGCTCAGATCAGAGGCGTGGCCCTTCCAAGGACAGGGTAGCTCCTGCCTCAC